CTTTGCACTGCTACTTTTTCTTTATAAAGTCGCTCTAGCCTAGATTCCATTGTTACAAGTACAATATATTCTGTAATCATTCAAAAGACCAACAAATTTGGACGGAAAGAGAAGATCTAAAACTCTCACCTAGAAGCAAGCAACAAAAGATGTTATGCTCAAAGTAAAAAGTCTGTATAACAGTGTTAGACGAAGACATATAAGTGAAATGCTTGCTTCGTTTGCACAAGAATACTCTTTTTTTTGAATTTTTAGCTGTACACATCTTCTGATCTTGCAAATTTTTCGTCACAAAAGTGGCTTCTTCTTTTCTTTGAGACTTTCGGCAAGCTTTGTAGCATTTGTCGAGTGTGTAAGTATGCGTAAATTCTTAAATTCGCTAGGTTAAAGTTTCATGTTCTACCTTTCGAATGGCTGCAGACATAGCCTTTTTTGGGGTTGAATCCAGTTACCAGTTCTACCGTAATTTCGCAAAATTGTTTGAATTGCTGGATTCGATACATTAATGGAAGCTTTCAGTCGTGCTAGAGTGACGGCAATTCAAGTAGAGGATTCGGATGGTTGAGCTTTTGAGTGAATGAACGTAGATCACAGCAAACAAATCATTTAACGTGCTCTCATCAGTCCGAGATATGAAAAAAAAATTCTAATGAAAATGAGATATCACTATCTCTTATTACAAACTGAGCTATTGGCTATTATGCGACATAAATTTGGCATTTCACGGATTCTTTCGTGGATAAAATACATTTTCTACAAGAGACCCGTGAGATATGCCATTGTTGAGATGTGACTGCAATACAGGTGCACCTTCGCTCTTAGTACTTACAGTACTAAGAGAGAGAGAGTATTATAATTTATCTACTTTTGAATAAATTGAGCTTTACGAAAGAGCTTCATAAATTTTGCTACCAACTGTACCAGCTGAGCCGGTCCTCGACAATATGAAAGTCCATAGCATTTGAGAAGGATGTAGTGTAATATATCTCACTTCGCCTCCATGTACCGTAACCACCGCACTGACAACTACGTATCTATATGCCAGATATAACTCTACCATTACATCTTCTGACTGCTGGTGTTGAAAAATTATGATTTCTAATTTATAACGATTTTACATAATATGAGCTTTATGAAAGAGCTTCATAAATTTTGCTCAATCTTGAAGGGAAGATCTAGCTCAGTTTCATCTTATATATAAAGCTGAACGTCTGTTTATATGTCTGTATGTATGTCTGTATGTCTGTCTGTCTGTACGTATGTTCCGAATAGAAAATTCCATTTCTGAACCGATCCGGACCAAACTCTGCACACATACACTATGGGCCCCGGCGGGTGTCATAGGCTACTTTTCGTCATCGATCGATATCGATTTTATCGATTTTTATCGATTTTTTTGCACAGTTCACCTACTGGGCTGGGAGTTTGCATAGTGGGGTAATCGAGCATGAGGATTCCGAATACACTATTAGTTTTTAAGGATTATCGATTACTTTTATCGACTTTATCGATTTTTTTGCAAAGTTTGAGCTACGGGGCTGGGAGTTCGCACAGGGGGGTAATCGAGCATGGGGATTCCGACGTAATCTGCATGCTCGATTACCCCCTTGTGCAAACTCCCAGCCCCGCAGGTCAAACTTTACAAAAAAAATCGATAAAATCGATAAAAGTAATGGACGATCCTGAAAACTAATATTGTGTTCGTAATCAGCATGCTCGATTACCCCCCCTGTGCAAAATCCCAGCCTCGCATGTCAAAATTTACAAAAAATCGATAAAATCAATAAAAGTAATCGATAATTCTGAAAACTAATATTGTATTCGGAATCCCCATGCTCGATTACTTCCCTGTGCCAACTCCCAGCCCAGTAGGTGAACTGTGCAAAAAAATCGATAAAAATCGGTAAAATCGACATCGATCGATAACGAAAAGTGGACTGTGACACCCGCCGGGGCCCGAAGTGTATGTGTGCCAAGTTTGGTCCGGATACGGCGGAGCCGGGTAAGCCAGCTAGTATTTGATATTTCATAATTGATCAATTCGAGCCTTTCTCTTGTGAGAAGTCCAAGTGCCTACAAAAATTTACCTCAGCAGGAACTCAAATAGAATCACAAAAATTACAAACGAAATAAGAGCTGTATGAAAGTGCATAGCTCGAAAAAAAAACTTAGCCCACGGTTTCTGTATCAAAACATTTTATTTTGCCTTAGGATATCTGCAAGATATTCCCCAAACTCTCCTCTTATTTTTAACCTTATATATAGTTCTCATCTCTCGCTTTCAACTCCATGACTCTTTCAAAATATCCTTCTAAATGGCCTCACAGCTTTCCAAGGAATATCGCGTTCCATTCTTTGAAATCTTCCACCCCGAAATTCATTGTCGCGTGAGTGTTGAATGTTGCGAACGCAAAAGCGTGTGGGAGCGGTGTCAAAATGAGAGTATCCATTTCAACGCCAAAGCTCTAGAGTTCGCTTGCATATCGGGAAAAAGAAAAGATTGTGAAGGAATTTTTTGTATGAAAACATTTATGTAGTTCAACAATAGCACAGTGCTGGGCTTGATACGAAACTTCTCTCAGATTCCGCTTCTTGAAGTATGAAATGCATGCCTTCAAAAGTTGGTTTCCCAGTATCAATTTTTGTACAGAAAAACAATTAAGAGCACGATTTGTGAAATAAAACTGCAAGAATATAACCAAACATTCAGTAAAATTTGATGATTTTGTAGTCTGCATGCGGCATAGATTGAAATTTCGGCAGGTGCCCGAACACTCTAGAAATCTTCCTTTCTTTAAGGTAAAAGTTTCATGTGATGAGTTCTATAGCAATGAATTGATGTTCAGAGAGTAGAAGCACGCCCATTCTCCGAAATTCAACTCAACATTAGATTTTCCAACCAAATTTAGAATCTTCCATAATTCCACAGCGTTCATGAAGTTTTACTCAGAGCTAAAATGAGTTACTGTTCAATTCGACTAACGAGCTCAGTAGACAGTGTTGATTTTCGTTTAGTCAGCCAGTTTTTCAAAAATTAAACGACTGAAAGCGAGGGCTAGCTTCTATATATTCAAGCTATTTTTTCACACAAAACCAAAACCAACAACAGCTAAAGTGCTTTAGTGAGAGCTGCAAACGATGACCTAAGAATGTTGATTTACGGTAAATGTCAAGTACTTGTCGATAAGGTATTACTCAGCTCTCGTTTATCACCTGCGGAAGTGATTTTAAGGAAACCTAGGTCTGACGTACTAGTAGGGCGCTTCTAAAAATTAGGATAAAACTTCTAGCTTTCAATAATCGTGTTTTTTTTGAAGGCGCATCATTTTTTGCGTGGTGAATAATTTTGAATTTCTAAATTTTGATTTCAACACATGTCTAACTAGGATTTGTGAATGACAAATGATGCACGTGAACGTCGAAAAGAAAGAGGAGAGGGAAAAGATTAAAGGAACCATCCGTTATGGTGTGATATAATGATAGCCAATTCAACAAATTGCACTGGCAGAAGAGTTACATTTCTGTCGAGTATCGTTGCATTTTTGCACATTTTGCGATGACGCCCTTCTTTCTCATAATTTTATCTCATGATTTTTTAAAGCCCGAATATTTTGCAACTTTCACATGTTGTAGGTGCACGAACTTGTGGATGCACAAAGGAATCTCGTATTGCTTGTTTCTACTTTGCTTTGAATTCATAAAAATCACACGGACTTACTTGAAAATTATGCAAACCTAAAGCGATAGTCACTCTACTACAAAATACTTTTCAATGACAAGAATATAAGAAAAACGATATCAATTTTGTTCAATACAGCAGAAGTGGAAAGATCGTTAACAAATGGTAGACTTTCTCTATTTTTAACTTTGAAAAAACTAGAGCAATTCAAAAAGGAATTTTTATCTCCTTGGTAAGCCAAAAAGCGAGTACTTTTGATTTTATATAACATCAAACCCTTGTTTGACCACATGACTTTTAAAAACCGTTCTAGAGGAGATCTAGTTTAGTTCCTTGATTTTGTAAAACATGCATTATTATGGGTCAACATAATATTCTACTTCCTTGCTTCAAAGGCTCCTTCGAGGCACCATATTATCTTATTAGTCCTTTTTTATTCAATAATCTCCTAATTTATTTACTTATCTATTCAGTGTTATGGTGGCCTAAGCCCGGACAGAGTTCACGCGATTTGATCGTCGCGATTTTCATGCATTTTCATTTTACATTCAAAAAACTTCGAGCTGGAAAAGTATCACAACCGAAATGTATGCTGATCGGCATGCAATAAACTCGTAACAGTTGTCTTGTAGCGATTGAATCGCGATGATCAAATCGCGTGAACTCTGTCCTAACGAACATGTGAGTGCGGAATCAAAAAAAAACGTAGACAATTGAATTACCACTTTACCGGTGTGAAAAATTAACCACTAAACAGCAAATTTTTCATGTGCATAACGTCGCTTGTGTTCTAAACCTTATCCTTGTTACCATATTTCGAAATTTCTTTATATGTCGTAAAGATTCCAAAATCTCGCTCCGAATAAAAATGGCTCCTTCTGTAGTGATATAAATATTGCAAAAATAATTCGAATAGGAATGTGCTAAACCGTGCTCCTCATAGGTACTCTTCTTCTCTTCCCTGGCGTGCAAGTTTTGCACACTTCGCTAAATCCATAGATGTGTTCCTTGACTAACGATAGTTATTTTGAGGATGTAGCTCTCTTTGAGCTGAAAATAGCTTCAATGCTATTGTACCTGTATATAAGTTTATGGCTGAACGCTTCTAGCACGTCTTAGCTTCAAAAAGTTCCACAGTGCAATATGTGGCTTAAATCACCCGTTACAAACTCTTCTCAGAGAAAATGTCAAGTTGCGCTTGGCGAAAGATGCGGTTACTCGATTATTTCATTGCTTTTCACCTGCTCATACGAGCGTGAAATTTGCTCTTTCGCAAGGTTGACTGCTTATACCGAATAATTTGAAATTGTGACTTTTCTAGGCAGCTGCCGCGCCTCACTCTTCGTCATCCTTCGGTCGACGCCGACGCCATGCCCTTGTCAGTGGATGGAGAAACGGAACTTCCGAACGAATTTCTCACTATTCGCACTTCGCAAAGGCGATGGACTGAATCGGAATCGGTACGCTACGTTTTAGTATACTTCTAACACGGTGGACTGCTTTCGCGCAAAGAAAAAAGTGTCATCACCGACTCCCATGGAAAAATCCTTTACCCGATCTAGCCATGCACACTCCGTCTCAGTCGACTAAGTAAGTCTAAACATCAGCACGCGCTCGCAGCTACGAGGCGCAGTGTGTTTGCGCGCTATGAGTATGAAACAAAGGGGTCCCTTCACGAATTACCATAGCATTTGCAGGCATAAAAATGCCAAAAAGAAGAACAGGCTCAGGCTAATTTACCCTCTAATTCAGCGAGATTGGAGACTGAAAGGCGATCGCTCGCGCCAGTCTGCGTCTCTCTCGCGAGCGTGCTCTCTTATCATCCTTTGGCCTCAATTAGGTCACGAAGCCCCGCCTTCCAGCCGCCAATCCAGTTGAAAGGATATATCGTGTCGCAACCACATCTTAAAATGCAAGTGTAGATAGGACGGCTATTAGCGAACAAAAAGAATCCTCATGTCAGCGACAGGCTTCTTCCAAGCGGACATCTGCCACAAACCATTCTTCCCAATAGATTACTGCCACTACCAAATGACCACGCCTGTGAACCCTATCGCCGTCAGAACGCTTCAATCAGCAGTGAAAGGGAATGGGGAGGAGCACTTTCAGAGAAACAAATCGATTCCAGTCATTTATTTGAACATTAGGTAGAAAATTAACTATATCATAAAATAACCGCTAAAAATTGGCTTCGAAACACTCATTTTTTCATTTTTTCATTCTCATTTTAGAACACATTTTTTGCGCTTATCAAAATTATGACTTTTTGAACAGAGAGCAACAAATCTAGCTTTTTGATTGCTTGAAACGTCGTGAAAATTGTGATATATGGCTGTCAAAAACCGTTGAAAACTCGGCTGACCAAAATCGTTTGACCCATTGACGACAACGCCTAATTTTTGCTTAGCAGCGCTGTGGGATAGAGCGATTTTGCACAACACTTCAGGCGTAGGAAGGTTTGTGCTTATTTGCGAAGTGCGAGGTTGTTTTTCAAACACAAACGTTTTTTTGAACGGCGGAATCTACACATCCCAAGAGTTTAAAAAACTGGAAAAAATATCAATCTATGGAAGAAATACTAGGCCTAAAGAACATGACCTTGCAACAGGTGTGGACCACCAGTAGTTCGCATCGTTCCTGGCACCAAAAAGTGCGTGGGCCACCGCTGGTCCACATTGTCGTCAATGGGATAAACTGACAGGCTCTCAAACTTATGACAATGCAAACCAAATAGTTACTTCAACAAGGGAAAGTTCTGAAGAACAAAAAGACGGAACAAGACTGTTTACAAAAGTGTTGTCATGCATGTCTTCATTATACCTTTCCCAAAGCGAAACTTATTGTGTAAGTAGAATTCATTGTACCGGAGCAATGATGCAAAAATTGCTGCAATATCTGTTCATGTTTCATTTTCTGCAGCAGTGTAGTGAGAAAGAATTTGTGTAAATATCATGCTAATGGCAAATGATATTAGTTGCTATGCAGAGCTAGCTATGCGTGCAAATGTCACCTTCTTTTGCGGATTATAGTGTTGCTAGTGCTATATAAAGCGAGGTTAGCCGAGGAATTATGCTGACAAGGTCTTGTGGTCTGAAATAAGTCCATCGAGATCCCAATTCAACTTTTATCGAGTAGTTGTACTTTACCAGTACAATACGATTCATTTCTCTTTTACTAAGCAATCGTTGGAGGACACTGGATCACTTATGAGTTTGCACAATTTATTAAGTTGTAACAGAACTAATGCAAGTTTTCCAAATCTTCAGCCTGTATTACTATAACTTTTTACAGATATGGTCAATCCGTTTCTAATAAAAACTGCTGCAATCAGCAAAACTTTTGCAATCTAGTACGCAATACTATGCCGTTGTAGCTTTGCTGGGAAAAATTTCATGGCCTGAAGATTGTCAGGCATTTTCTTGAAAAAATCTTTGGTTTGGGAGACCATAACTTACTACGCAATGTAGTAGGATGATACAAACTCACTCGTTGCGTAGGCAATAGTTGATTATGCAGCAGCGTTAAGCTTGAATTGTACGAAAAATTATTGCTAAAAAATATTGCAAAAATTCGTATTCACTCATTCTTCTATTGCTCTGAAAAAGTGCCTTTTTGCTGTTTTTTGGTTTTCCTCGCCGCCAAGGAGAATAACAGCTTCCGGGTTCTCTTGCTTCAAATGGTCTACGTCTATTCTTTCTGAAATGACGAAAGCTCTGCAAACGCTTGCACCTAGACGTTCCATACGCCACATAACAGCACCGGTTGTTTGGGTTTGAAGTGAAATTTCTCGGTCTGGAAAGTTTTAAGAAATTTGCTTCGATGTGCATTTTGTAGCACAGAACACCAACACATACAAACCTTGCCCCAACTTGCAAAAAAATTTTTACTTTCTGCGGTTGGTTTAGAACAAAGAGCATAAAATTAAATAATTGCAGGACTTAGTCCCTTAATTTCGAAAGCACGTAATTCCGAGATGAACCCGCTCCTCTCGAAGCGAAACTATGCCTAAGAAATTAGTAAAAGAGTGTTTTCAGAAGATGTGCATAGCTTTTTGAGGCATAAAACTTTGCCTTGAACCAAAGCTTTGAAAAAGAGGTGTGAAAACCTAACATTTATTAGCTCAGCGGGTAACTGTTACGCTTTTTGTTGTAGTTTTTGGAAATCTTGAACGCCCCATAATTACGACGTGTGTGCAGGGTTGAAATATCGGTACCGTCGCATTCATGGTTGTTAAAAGTCTGTTTTGATCCCATTTTTGTAAATGAGTTGGCATTCTTTCAAGTGAAGCGAGAGATCGGATAAAGTGTAGACACAGAAAATATTCTATAGAGTTGATATGGGAGGATGATACAAACGTATCTGAGTCGTTAAAATGTCGATACAAATGCGCCACCTCTGCAATCATCGAGATCCCAACAAAGAAGACGTCATTAAGGAAATTTGAAAAATATCTTTAAGCTTCCTGTATTGCTTTCCAGAGGATGCAAGTAAAAAGAAGAATTTTGGAAAGCCTTTGAATTTTTTTTGATATTTTTCACCCCTCATCTCTGAAACGCTAAAGGCACCGGAGCACTTACATGTAGACGGTGCTGGAATACGGTTTGAAATACGGTCAAACGGGGGTGGAGGAACGAACACTTCAGATGCGCATCGCCTCAGCGGACTACTCGTCCCAGCACGACGCACAACAGTAGGACGAAAGGACCAACAGACCCAGGAGGCAGTGCCTAATTGAGGTGTTCGTTCCTCTCCCCGTCAAACGGTAAATTTCGAGCAAGTGAAGGCTTAAGGTGACGTTTTTGTATCGACTCTGAAACAGAAAAATTCCAGCAAATAACGCACAATTGTTTGCGATTCCGCAAAGAAAAATCTTCAAAAACAACCCGTGAAAAATAGTGGCGTTATCCGTTTAAGCAGTGAATGAAATATATGGGCGCGTCGCCTAGCAATCTAACCATATCCCATTTTCTGAAAAACAATTGTCAGGAGGAAGTATTAGACAACAGCCATTAGCTATTACGCTTCATGCTGCCGTTTTGCTGTTCCCATTTATTTTCAGTCAAGCATGAAATTTTTGTTACTGCTGTTTTTACAAGCGCCTCGAAGAAATTTCTAATTCTAACAATAAGTGGATTTTTGTTATCCTAGTTCCTTACCCTCGTGTGAAAAGTGTGAAAAGTGATTGAAAACTCACTACTTTTTTGTTCTGGTTCGATCAAGATAAAACAATATTGTTTCACAATTTATTTAGTAAGTTAAGCCTTGTTACAAAAAATCTATTAAGGATGAGGGGGATGATAGAAGCTTGAAAAAATTGTTTTGTATACTCAGCAACTTCATAGATCAAGCATTTTGTCTTCATTTTCAAACTGAACTTCAGTTTTATCTCGTTTTTTTTTCTTACAGATTTACCCCTCAAATTTCATCTCAGTTGCCCAGAATATTTTTTGGCCTTCTTGCATGAAAAGGCCTAAAATTCCACCTATCCATCAGAGACATTCAGAGCGTCCAGCATGCGTTCTAGTGTATAATTTTCCATTTAGCTAGACAAAGGCCAGAATGCGCGCAGATTTTTTTTGCATGCTTGTCCATTTGTCTTGTAAGAGCTTTAGTGAATTTGGTACTTCATGTTCTAGTAGCTTCGTTACCTTACCGGCTACACATGATTTTGGTAGAAATTAGCGTGACTGAATTAAAGTTGTACATGGTTTCCAATCCAGGAATTTTCTAAAAGTATACTAAGTCTCAAAGCTACTAAATTCCTACAACATTTCATTAGATCATTCTTAGAAGACAGGACCTTAAATTGTAAACTAGAATCCAAGGCTTCAACACTCCTTTTGGAATTGAAGGAATGTAAACTGGCTTGGCACAATTTGTATGTAGAAACTCAAAGTTGAAGAATCTTCTCAAGTTTTTGTCGTTTGTTCGTTGAAGACAAAACCTATAGAACTCGCCTTAACGACATAATCCGATAAAAGTAAACAAGTTAGGAAGTATAATAGTTTTTATATCTAATATCTAGATGTACAAATTTCAGATTTTTCGGAATTTAGCTGAGCTATTTTTTTGCAGTAGAGCTCTCTGGTTCTTTTAACTCACCTTATCTCAACAAAAGTCTCCTTCAAGGGACTATTCAACTCCCTGTCTGTGTGTTTACAATCTCTTGCATGCTTTCTTCAAAATAAGGATTATTTGTAATGGTTGAGACCGTCTTGGACTTCGCAGCCAAAAATGTTATTGAATTTTTGAAGAATTTGAATAAAGTGGCTGTATGTTTATGTTGAATTTGCTGGATGCTTTTTTTGGTTTTTTTAATCTGAATCAAAAAAAAATGTTTTGTCCCTCTGTGTAGTTCTAAAGCAATGATCTCTCAGTTTTTCATAAGGTCATCATAATTCACGACAAGGAAGGGAACTATGCAGTGCTTCCTCCTTTTGTTCATCGCGAATTCTTTGGC